CGCTGAATGCTCAGGCCGCCAGTCTCTCGGTGCCCCGGGAGAAAGATATATATATATATATATATATATATATAGAGAGAGAGAGGGGAAAACAAAAAGGAAGAGAGAGAGGGTGGGGGACCAAAAACAACCTCTGTGTAGCTCAGTGAACGTGTTTGCCTGTCCTTCTTGTCACGGCCGCCGCGCGTGCGCCCCGCTGCCGCGCCGCGGCCCAAGCCTCTTCGGGGGCGGCAGCCCGCGCGCTCAACTCCCTGGGGGCTGGGGGAGGGGGGGGGGGGGGGGCGATCGCCGAGGCCGCCGCCCGGGCTAGGCGCCCGGGGCCCCTCCCTCCGGGGAGCGGCCGCTGGGCTGCAGCGGAGGAGCAGCTAGGAGGCGGAAGAAAGTGCTCGCGCTGGTCTTCCTCGTGGGCGCGGTGGCCGGGTGCTGCCGCTGCTCGGTGGCCGCGCTCGCAGGAAGCGTCTTTCGCCGCGGGGTCTCCAGCGCGCGCGGCGACGCGCGCGCTGGCGCCGCTACGACCAGGAGAGGCGCTTGAAGCAAGGCCGCGGGCGGACGCGACGCACGTAGGCGAGCGCCTGATCGCGCGCGACAAGGAGCGATCGAGTCAGATGAATCCAGCGCGGACGAGAGCCACCCCAGGCATCGACGCCCTCTATCGCGCACAGGCAGCGGCCGCGGAGGCGACGCAGCTCCAGGTCGAGTTCAGCGCCGCCAGCGGCGGCCATGGTGCCGGTCGCGGGGGCAGGGCCCCTGTGCAACATGGTGGTCGCCCGGGAGCTGCTACCCGCGCCCGTGCCGGACCCTGTCGCCATTCTTGCGGCGGCGGACGCGGCGCGTTCGATCACGCGCATGTCGGCGGCGTTGCGTCGACCAGTGGTTCTCCGAGGTTGCGCGCGCAGTGAATTTTTTGCGCGGCCGTGGTGCCCGTCGCCAGGGGCCCCAAGCATCGCGCGCCAGATCCGCGGGAATCGACCGCATCCGCGAGGTGATCCGGGAGGCAGGCCGCCTTGGTTTCCAGGGGCGGCAGCCCGCGCCGAGCGAGCTGCGCTCGCATTTGCCGGAGCATGCGCAAGGCGCCGCGCGTCGCGCCTCCTGCTCAGAAGGATTCGGTTTCCCTGCCGACGGCGCGCGGACAGTGCGATATCGCGCGATGGCGTTAGCTGCCTGACTGGTCGTGTCCGTGAGTTCTGGGCAAGCTGGCGCATGCGTCTTCTTCGCGATGATGGGCTTGCTGAGCAGGTTCGTGTTCGCGCTTTGTCCGATCCAACATTAGCGCATTGCGAGGGCGCGTGCTCTCGCTTCATCGGGCAGCCGCTGGGCCATGGCCCGATGACCCTCTGCGATTTCTCGGCAACCGCGGTCTGCGTCTTTTCCGTTTTCAAGAGTGACGCGCGATCTCTGCGGACGATCGCGGATGCGAGAGCGGCAAACCCAAAGTTCAAGCCGCTTGCGCATGCGGGATTGCCGACCGCGGGGGCCCGGGGCAGCCTGACGGCGCCGCGCGGCAAGTCGCTTCACTTAACCTGGATGATTGCGGACAGCGCCTCTTGCCGCATCGCGACCCCCCCCCAAGATGCGCCAGCGCTTCGCGCTGCCCGTCGTGGACCTGGGCGCCCTGCGCGCTGAGGGGTCAGACTTGGCCCCAGGGCCGCCTGCCCGTCGCCAGACTTCGCCTCGCCCAGCCGCTCTCGCGATTGGCTGGTTCCGCCGGCAGATGGCGGGGGCGCGGGTGCTGCGCGGCGGCCCGGCGCGGGAGCGCTTGGCCCGTGACCAGCGTCGAGGGTCTTGTTTCTTGCTTGGCGGAGGGGCCCGTGGCCGCCGCGCGCGTCGACGGGGCCACCGTCTCGGGGTTCGACTGCGACGAGACTCTCGACGCGGCCAAGCAGGTGCAGACGTTGCTTGGCGAGGCTGGCCTTCGGCGCAAGGGGCCCGACGGGGCCGACTGCGGAGGCCGTGCCCGCTGGCCTGGCCTTCGACGCTCCGACGAGAAGAGAGGATGGGTCAGTCTGAGTCGGAGGCGCATGTGGCGGATCCGACTCAGCCTCTCGCGCGTCGCCAACCGCGGCCCCCCCGCCGGCGACGAGCTGCGGGCCCTCTTCGGCCGCTTCGCCCGGGGCGCCTTGCCGCGCCGGGGGCTGCAGTCCATCCTGTCCGCCACCCGCCGCTCTACGACGTGGGCGGGCGAGCTGTGGCGGCGGCTTTGAAGCTCCATGGAAGCGGAGCTTCGCCTTGCTGCGGCACTCGTCGTCTTCGGCTGCGTGGGCTGCCGGCGCCGCCCAGACCTGGCGGCACTGGCGACGGACGCCCGCGGCGCCGCGCCTCGCGATGCCAGCGATTTCGGCGCGGTGGTCCGCTTTGGGGGCCGAGGCCACGTCAACCGCGTCTTCGCCCAGGCGGAGTGTTGGCGCTTACAGGTGACCGAAGCGGTTTCGGCGCGGGCGCGCTCCGGCTTTCGGGGCGCCCTGCAGCCATAGCTGAGTGCGCTGTCGAGAACAAGAAGATCCAGAGCCCCGACGCAGAGACCTCGACATCGGCCACGATCAAGCACCCGCCGGCCCCGCAACAGCCCCAGTCTCCCTGGCGGCGCCAGCGCAGACCCGAGCGGGACTTCGGGGAAATGTGCGCAAAGAACTAGGGCCGCTAGGTTTGACTGGATGACCACTAAGGACGCTGGCGCTCTCAATTCGCGGCAGCTAAGGGGCGTGGGCAGGTTCGACGGGGCAGAGAACGTCATCCGTATCGAGGGGCGCGGGGTCGCGATTCGGCATTCGACATCAATTTCGAGCCGTCGGTCGGCGCTGGCGCAAGCTGCTCGCGTTGCACGACAGCGCGGGCCTGGCCCTGGCTTTCGGGAAGGGCCGAGCCGCCGCCCCAGCCGCGAACCGCGCCTGCTGCGAAGTCACCGCGCTAAGCACCATCGGGGGCGCGTCGGCGATGGCCCGCTGGATTCCTTCCGAGATCAACCCTGCCGACAGGCCTTTCTGCGCGCGCGGCGCCGCGGCTCGAGGCCCGCGACGCGGGCGCGGAGGCCAGCGGCGGCTCGGACAACGCCGCCGCCGGCGCCATCAGCCGCGGCGCTCTTGTCCGCTGGAGATTGGCGCGCCGGGACCCGCCCCTGGCGCGTCACCATTGCGCGAAGCTCGCGATGGCCCTGGGCGACGCTCCCGCGGAGTGCCCGTGCTGCCTTTGTTTCGACGGCCAGGGATCGCGCCGCCCCCGCCCCGCCTCGCGCTCGACGAGGAGCAGGGCCAGAGGCGGCCCCAGCGGGCTCCCTGGAGTCGCCGCCCTCACGCGCCCGGCCAGGCGCGCCCGACCTTGGGGAGACGGGGGCCCAGCGCGCGGCGGGGGGCGGCGGCTGGCGATTGCGTGGGACTGCGCGCTGGGGCTGGCGAGCGACATCATGCAAATGCAGGGTCGGGCGCCCCAACCCCCGCCGCTGATTCAAGTCGGCGAGATGGTCGAGGCCCCCCCCGGCAGATCCTCAGCAGGCGCCCGGCGCCGCTGCTCGCGGGCGACGGGGCCGCAACCGCGCGCTCGCGGGCGGCAGAGCTCGGCCCCTCGGGGACACTATGGCGCGCGAGACGAGGCCGTCGGCATCGGCGCTGAGAAACGGGCTGAAGGGCATCATGCGTTGCCCACTGTCTGGTGCCCCATCTTGCTCTCTAGGATTCCTATCGGGCGCGGGCGACGTCTGCCGCGCACTTCGTGTGCTGCAGTGCAAATGCCTCCATGTAGATTGTTCGTTATTCTGAGTTCTTCAGTCTGGGTCGTCGGCCAAACAGTCGCTGGCTGAATTTTTACTCGCCTCGTGATCGTCGTCTTTGCTGCAGTCCCTTGCTCAGCGCGGTCGCAAGCTGCTTGTACTTCTATCAGAAATCGTCAGCGCATCTACGGTCACCCCCGCCTGGGCGGCGCCGCAATGGAGCGTCTCGCGGTGGAGAATGCCACCTTTGCAGTCACTCAGATCATAATCCGCGCCTGCGTTCGTCACGGCGTAGCCATTATGCGTGAGAGTCCTGTCATCAGCTACGCTGCACAGAAGCCCGAAATTATGCAGATCAGTCAACACGCCCGATGTCGTGAAGCCATTTTCGATATGTGGCAATTCAGAACAGCCTGGAAGAAGCCAACGCGATTGCGTGCCTGGAGCTGCGTGCCCCCCCCCTCCCTCCGCCGCTCTGCGCGCCCGGCGCGGATGCGCGCGCGGGGCGCGCGCGGGGTCGGGCAAGCCCCGCCTCGCCTTCCAAGGTCCATTGCTTAACGGAGAGCGGTGGCGCTGCATCGCCGAGTCTTACCCAACTGAGTTGTCCATGCAGTTCGCCCGCTGGCTCGCGTTCAATGCTGAGGGCGTCAGATCAGACCCCTAAGGCTGATAAAGGCTGAGGAAATTGATAGATTGTTGAAGCATTCAACCCTCGAGGGCACAGTATGGGAGAGGGTGGATGCGTTGTCATGTTTGTCGTCTGCGAACTTCGAGATGGCAAGCCGCTCGCGACACAAACCCATGCCCGTTGCCATAGAGAAAAGAACCGGCACGTGTATCTCTGTGAACATATTTGTTTGTCCCTCTTGTCGCTGCCGGTGCACGTGCACCCTGGCGCCGTGCCGTGGTCCAAGCCTCTCCTCCCTCGTCCGCTCGCGCCTCCATATTTAAGTTGTGCAAGCACTCGTCTTTAGAACTGTGTGGATGCGTTGACATATGTTGATATGTGTGCTGTTTGCAAGCTTCAAGCTTGAAGGCCGCTTTTGACACAAACTCATGCCCCTAGCCATGGAAAAAAAGGACCAGCATTCCGCCTCCCCCTCCTCCTCCTTCTCCTTCCTCCTCCTCTCCCCCCTCCTCCTCCCCCATCTTCTTTTTGAGCGCTGAGCGCTGATGGCGTGGGCATCCTGTCGCATTTCATCCTCCCCCTCCTCATCCCTCTTCTGCCTCTTTGGGACGGAGGAAAGGACAGAGGACGGACGGATGAACACGCAGAAAGCGAGGCGGACGCGGCCGGTAGGATGTTGCTGGAGTCGCCCGCGCACAAGTGCACGAGCGAGGCCCGCTCCGGGAAGGGAAGGAGGAGGAATCGGAGGAGGAGGAGGAGGAGGAAGAGGAGGAAGAGGAAAAGGAGAAAAAGGCGGAGGATAATGATAATATGATAAAATTACGAATGCGATGACGAAGAAGAAAAACACAAACACACAAAACACCATAATATTGTAAGAAATGAAGACATACAATGCTTAGCGTACGATTCGTATTAATACTTATCATCGTAGTAATACGAATAACAGTGAACACATGCTAGTACGAGCCATAATACTAGTAACAATACTAATACGGATAATAACAATAGGAATACTTATATTACTATGAATCATATTAGCAATACGACTAATAATGATGATACGAATGCGAGCAATACAATTGATACCAACTATTATAATGATAATAGTGTGAATAACACTAGTAATACTAATAATCGTAAACCTAAGCATGCTACGAATAATAAGAATACGATTAAGACTACGAAGAAAACTAAGACGAATAAGACAAAGGAGGAGGGTAAGGAGGTCAGGTCAGGTCAGGTTAGGTCGGATCAGGTCAGGCAGTCCTCGAAAGCTTCTCCGAAGGCTTCCGGGGGGGGTGAAGAATAAACACTCCAGCCCAGAGGAGGAGGAGGACGACGAGGAGGAGGAGGAGGAGGAGGAAGAGGAGAGGGAGGAGGATGGGGAGGGGAAGGGGAGAAGGAGGGGAAGGAGGGGAAGGCGGGGAAGGCGGGGAAGGAAGGGAATGGGGAGGGGGAGGGGGAGGGGATGGGGGAGGGGAAGGAGGAGGAGGAGGAGGAACAGCAGCAGCAGGTGCAGCAGGAGCAGGAGCAGAAGTAGGAGGAGGAGGACGAGGAGGAAGAGGAGGAAGAAGAATATAAAGACGAATCATAGTAACACGAAAACTAATAGTGAGAATACGAATGCTAGCAACAATAATAATATTGAGGTTAAGAATGACACGAAGAAGACCAATTAGAGGAGGAATGCTATGAAAAATAGGAGGAGCATGAAGAGGAGGAGGAGGATGAAGAGGAGCAGGAGGAGGGGGAATACTATTAATAATAATACTAAGACGAATAATAAGACGCATAAACATAATAAGAGGAATAAGAGGAGGAGCAGGAAAAGGAACAGGACCATGACCAGAGACAGGAAGTGGAGGAGGAGGAGAAGGAGGAAGAGGAAGATCAGGAGGAGGAGGAGGAGGAGGAGGAGGAAGAGGAGCAACAACATCAGCAGGAGCAACAGCAACAGTAAGAACACAAACAAAAACAACACCACGATCAGGAGCAGCAGGATGAGCAGGAGAAAACACAGGAGGGATGGCGCGGTGGCCAGATCCTTTTCAAGAGGAGAAGGAGGTGTACCCAAGGAGCCAAGCAAACGTAGGGCGAAGGCGGCTGGGAGAAGCTCCGCACGCCTCTGCCAGGTCCCCCTCTTCAAGAGGCCTTAGTAAGGACAGTCGGACTCCGCCCCGCGTCGTGGCGTAGGAGGAGCAGGATCAGTAGAAGAGGCAGGACGGGCACGAGCAGGACCAGGAGAAGGATGACCAGGATAGAGGATCAAGGATAATGACTGCGATTCGGTGGATTCGACGGAGCCCAGGCGTATCTATTCTGCGTGAAAGCGCATCCCGTGTGATGACTTCTACAGCTTGGCAAGGAGTTGTTCTGGTCCTTCTTTCATTTACAGAGCTTAACATCCGAACAGGCCCCGAAACCACTCCGCCGATGACCGCCAGCCGCATGCCAGTTTTCGAATATTGAGAGGATGGGTATACACCGATCGAAGAGAGATGCTGACAATTTCGTCACGGCGGTATACGACATTGGAGGTAGAGTGGGGAGGCGGAGTGGGACGACGACGACAGGAAGGAGGTTCCACACAGAGCCCGTCCGACGCGATGACTCGCTCATCCCAGCTAGCGTTCGCATGTGCGTGGAACCTGGTGCGCTCGCCTTCAGCCGCGGGAGCCGAACCCAAGGGAAGGAGGAGGAAGAAGGGAGGAGGGCGAGGAGGAGGAGCAGCAGCAGCGAGGTGGAGGACGAGGATGAGGAGGCGTGGATATTGAGAGGAGGGGGAGGAAGAGGAGGAGGAGGAGGAGGAGGAGGAGGACGAAGCCCAACCTCCGCTGCCTGGGCGCCGCCGTCCCTTGGATCGACTCTGACGACCCGCTGGCCTGCCTGCCCGTCCACAGCAGTGCAGATGGTGATGCGGCAGTTTTGGAGGCAGAACGACTCGTGGGCCGCCTGAAAGAACTAGGAGACGCTGGGCTCCACCCCCGGACCTGCTTCTTCCTCCTCCGGGCAAACTACGAGGAGGGGCCGTGGACGCAACGCCTCGACGCGGTCGTGGTGGGGGCAGTTGGCTGGCTTGCGGGGCAACCTCTGCGGGGCGACCACACAGCGCAGTGCTTCTTGCGCTTAATAGACGGCGGCCTGGGCTTCATGTCTGCCGAAAGAGTGGCCGCGGCCGCTTTCCTCGCAAGCTGGGCTCTCACCTTGCAAAGCGTGGCCCGAACCTTAGGAGAGACCTCGTGGGAGGGGTTCACGGCGCGCTGCGCGCCTGTGGCCGGCTCGCTCGCCAGAGCTGGGGATCGTCTCCACGCCCGAGGCCACGGCCAGATGACCCGCCCCGACTGGGTCGCTTCTTTCGCCGAGCCGCAGCCGAAGAAGCAGGAGGAATGGGCCGCGGCCTTGGGGGTGTCGCCAAAACGGAGATGCTGGCGAGCTTGAGCGGGGACGACCAGGTTGACCTGCGGTCGGCTGGCGGCCCCGGCGCTGGTGGTTTCTTGGAGCAACCCGTTCACCGAGAGGGACTCGAGCCAGCTCTGCTGTCCGCTGACCATTTCCTGATGGCGCTCGCGAACAGGCTCCGCATGCGGCTCTGCGAACCTGGTACCACATGTCAACACCGCTGGGCGGATGGGCGAGTGTGTGGTCAGGCCATGGACGCTCGGGGCAAGCATGCCCACTAGTGCACCTGCGGGCCAGCCCGCAACCGGCGGCACAACGGCGTACGGGACTTTTGCAGCTCCTACCACCAGAAGGTAGAAGGTGACTGGTTTCACTGCGGTTACCGAGCTGCGCGTCGTGGCCTGGGACAGGGTGGACGCTACGGGGGCTTTGGAGGAGGCGAGATTGGACGTGGCCACCCGTGACGCCATTTCGGGGCAGCCAGTGTTCTTGGACGTTAGCGTGACCTGCGCACGCAGCCACGACATGTCGCGCCAGCAGGCCCGTGCCGGACGAGACGGGCTCGCGGCTCGGAACGCAGCCGATGCCCAGCACTTGCGGTACCCGCCGCACGGAGGGGAGCTGGCCCCTGTCATCTTCGAGGCTGGTGGGCGGCCTAGCGAAACGACTGTGGCATACGTGCGATCGTGGGCGCACGGCTTGGCCCCTGCCCGCCGAACGGAAGGCATTCGTTTCGCGCGGCAGCAGCTGAGCACGCACTTCCAGATAGCGAACGCGGAGTTGATGCTCAGTGCGCTCGGCCGGTGAGGGCGCGCGCCGCCGCGGTGGCGAGCTCCCCATCCTTCCTCCTCCGCCTCGCCCTCCTCTTTTCCTTGCCGCTCCTCCGCCGGAGGCCCTCCTCCGCCAGCAGCCTCCCGCGGCCGCTTCTCCGCGGGCGCCGGCGGCCTTATCTACAGGCTGCGTTCGCGTCCACCGACCGCCCGAACAGGGCGCCATATCTTGCAGAATCCTGCCGAGCCAGGGGTGCATTGACCCGGGCTGGCGCGCAGGATCCTGCAGGATCTTGCGGGATCTTGCAAGGCCTGATTGGCCCGGGTTTGCATTGACTCGGGACACTGCGGCCCTGAATTCGAGGTCGGGACGATCGAAATGGGTACGGAAACATTTGGTACAAAGTCCAACAGCAGTTCTTCTTCATTGTGAGCCGGGTTCGCTGTCGGCGTCGCCGTGGTCGTTGTCCATTTGGGACAGAAGTCCGCCTGTCAAATTCGTTCTTGGGCATCGCACCCATCTTCCCGAACCCATTTCGGGCGTCCAAAGGGGGGGGGGTCGGCAGTGGCCTGCGGTGGCGCGGGCAGGTCGGAGGTCGACGGCGAGGGTCACGCCCGGCCGCGACCGTCAATCGGGGCGCGTGGCGCACCGCTGCGCCTCCCTGGGGCTGGGTCGTCGCGAGTCCTCCGATCCAATTGGATTCGATCTCGATGGCTTCCGATTCCGATTCGATCAGACTTCGGATTCCGAGATTTGTATTTCGATTTCGCAACGGAGGCCTTAACAGTCTGCCGATTTCCGCCGATTCGACATCTCCCGACTTGGCTGCCGATTTCCGCCGATCCGGTTCATTTCGATCGCCGATCCCGCTTATCGATTCGATGCTGGGCTCTCCCGCCCGAATCGGGGCCACCTTTCGCCATGAGGGAAACTGGTCCTAAGGTTTTTCGCCGCTGTCGAGCCTCAGGGGCCCTCCACGGGCTCCAGGGGCTGTCAGAAAACGACTCGGGATGAAGAGCGCTGGTCCTGGGGGAAGGCCCGAGGGTCCGTGGGCTCCCCAGAGGAGCGCGCACGGCTCCAGCGTTCGCATCGCTTCGCTTCGCGGATCATTCTCTCCTGCCCGCTCGAGGGCCTTTCCCCGCCCCCCTGCTGTTCTCGGCGCCGCTGTCCCCGCGGTGTCTCGTGGCCTGTTTTCTTATGCCATCGGCTGGCTCCTGCCGTCGCTCGCCTTTCTGGCCTTCGCTCCGCTGGTCCTCTTTGCCTCGTTTCGGCCCCCCTCGTCGCTCTGTGCGGTGGTACTGTCTTACGCTCGAAACCGACAGTAAGGATGGGCATCCTTCCCAATGGTACCCTTGCATCCTCGCCTCCTCGGTCCATCCTCAACCCCTTTCGATTGTCAGCCCCGCCCGAAAAGCTTCGACATGGGCGTCCAAGGTGCTTGCATTCTCATCGCGCATCCTGACTGTCAGTTTTGAGCATGATCGAGGACAAGGAAACGGCATAAACATGAACTTTCGGAGCTCCGCGCGGATCTCTCGGATCGGCCCTGGGCCCCCCTGGCGGCGTCCCCAGCGCCGCCTAAGGTGCGCTCCGCGTGCCGGGGAGGGCGGTCCGGTGACTATCCAAGACATCCGCGCAGAGCTCCCACATGTTCTGTTTATGCCGCGTGCTCTTGTCCAATGAGCAGGAGTTTGGGCTGGACGCTAACAAGCGCCCAGATGAGATTGATGGGGCCATCCCTCGTCGCTCTGCGCGATGATGCTGTCGTAGTCGAGGGATCGAGGGAGAGAGCACGGCATAAGCAGAAACCCTTCGGAGCTGCGCACAGAGCTCCAACGTTTTATGTTTGCGCCGTGTGCTCTTGACCCATGAGTTTGGGCTGGACGCCAGCAAGCGCCGTCCCACGGCGCGGGCCTCCGGCGCCCCCCCCGGACAGGTCCTCGGGCGTTGCGTACCGGGGGGGCGATAAGTGGAGGGCATGAGGAGTCACCACCCACCAAACCACCTCAACCCAACCCGACGGCCCCAATGCGCCCTCCGTTCTCAGTGGATTGGCGTCGGGGAGCACTGAAAAACAGAGGTGGAACCCGTGCACACCCCCACCCGAAATTTGGGTCCTCGGGTTGGGTTGGAGTGGTATGGTAGGTAGCAAAAGAAAGGTGCACCTTTCGTGCACTCCAGAGGCCCCAAAGAGGCCCCCTGTGGCCCAGAGGGGGCAAGAACGGTGCACGATTTTTTGCCCTCCATTTATCGCCCCCCATTGATCTATTCTCCCAGATGGGGTCGGAGCAGGCGGGGTCGGAGGATCGCGCCGCATCGCCGATGCGTCGGCAATGCGGCTGGATGTGGAGCCCGATGTTCTCCACGTCGACGTCGCCGACGAGTCGCCGACGTTGCCGATGCATCGGCGACGCATTGGCCCACCGAGCAGCGCCCAAGGTCCTGCCGCAGAGGGTCCCCCTCTGCGACGCCCCGCGGCGTGCCGCGAGGCGCTTGTGTTAAGTCGGGCCTGTCCCTCTACAGGAGGAGTATTCAAAAATAGTTTTTAAAAATAGTCTGGGGACTATTTTAAACTATTGGTTGACTATTTTAGGGCATTTTTTGAATATATTTTTTTTTGTCCAAAATCGGCCTGTAGGGAGACACGCCCGACTTAACGCTCGTGCCCTCTCGACCGCCCGCGAGGCGCCCTCGCCCTCGAGCTGCCTTCGCCCTCGGCCGCCCGTCGGCCTCGGACGCCCTCGCCTTCGCGGCGCCCGCGGTGCCGTGGCCGGCGCGCCCGACGGAGGCGCGTCGATCGCCGCCATGCTTTGCCTCCCCCTCCTCCTCCTCCTCCTCCTCCTCCTCCTCCTCCTCCTCCTCCTCCTCCTCCTCCTCCTCCTCCTCATACTCCCCCTCCCTCCCTTCTTCCCTCCCTCCCTCCTCCTCTCTCAGCCTCCTGGTCCCCATCTTCGCGCCCCCTCTGACAGCTTTCCCCCGCGCCCGACGGAGGCGCTGTCGATCGCCGCCATGCTCTGCGTGGGGCCCGTGTTCCTGAGACCGCAGGGTGCCGCGCTGAAGGACCCACCGTGGGCGTCGGAGGTGGATAGACCTCCTACCCTGACGCGTCGATTAAGGAATTGGCCGTTTTCGGTTTGCGAGAGGGCGTCGCGGCCGTCATTTTTGCGGGTCCAGGTCCGTCGGTTTCGGTCCCAGGCCGTTTTCACTAAAGGGAGGTTTGCTAAAGGGAGGTTTGTCCACCGCCGTGGGCGGCACTCCTCGGGGTCGCCCTCGATCTGCCCTCGCCCTCGGCCACCTCGCCCTCGGCCGCCCCCGGCCGCTCTCGCTGAATGACCCAGGGCGGGCGGCATTCCTCGGGGACTCGAGCGGGGGGAAGCTGTCATAGGGGGTGCGAAGATGGGGACCAGGAGGCTGAGAGAGGTGAAGGAGGGAGGGAGGGAGGGGGAGTACGAGGAGGAGGAGGAGGAGGAGGAGGAGGACGAGGACCAGAGTAAACCAGAGATACGTGAGCGATGCTGCAACACACCCTCCTGTCCCAAATCCCCTCACACGCCTCTTCAAGTCCTCTCTTTCACGAACCAGCACGCTTGGGCCTGCCATGTCGGCGAGGGCCCCGCTTTGAAAAGGAATGGCCTCGCATATTTCTCGCGCTGTAATCATCTGGCTGTCTTTAGGGCGGGTTTAGGTTGAGTTGGTTGAGTGTTTTTGTGTTTTGATGCCGACGACGATTGTAATGATGGTGGTTATCAAATCGTAGTGCTGACGGTGGTGGCGATGGTGATGGTGATGATGGCGGTGCTCATCACATCCACAATCACCATCATCACTATCACCATCATCACCATCACAACCGCCCTCACCGTACCATCATCACCATCATCATCATCATCATCATCATCATCATCATCATCATCACCATCATCACCATCATCACCATCACCATCCATACCATCAGCATCGCCATCACCATCACCATCGTCACCATTGTGGTCCGTAGGACTTGGCTCAAGGTAATGTCGTCGTCCCCTCCTTCGGTTTCCCCGAGCCCTGCGGCCTCGTCGAGAGCGGCCTCGCCAATCCCTGCGGCTTCATCGAGAGCGGCCTCCTCGTCGGAAGCGGCCCCCTCGACTGGCTGGGATTAGGGCTGGTTTAGGTTTAGGGGTTGAATCTTTCCTGTTGTTTGATGGTTTTTGATTGTGATTATGACGATGTCATGTTTTTCTGATTGTGATGATGACGATGCTTATGACGATGATAATGATAATTTCGAATGGCGACTATCCGATCGTATATATACAATCAACATCATCTCCATCACCATCATCCATCACCATCATCACCACCATCATCACCATCATCATCACGACGACGACGATGGCGGGGGGACGGCATGCGGACGTGCCCAATGGGACGACGACGACGACGACGACGGCGGGGTGGACGGTTCGATGGGAGCTCTAACATGCTAGGTTAGAGGTCCCATCGAACTCTAACATAGTATGTTAGAGTTTACAACGCTCACATCGAAATCGATATAACATATCATGTTAGAGCTTCCAAGGAGCTCTAACATAGCACGTTAGAGCTCCATGGGAGATCTAACGTGCCATGATAGAGTTCCAAGGGCCCTCCCTCTCCCCCGCCGCCGCCGCCGCCGCCGCCGCCGCCGCCGTCGTCGTCGTCGTCGTCGTCGTCGTCGTCGTCGTCGTCGTCGTCGTCGTCGTCGTCGTCGTCGTCGTCGTTGTTTCTGATGTCGCCGTCCTCGCCGCGAGGAGGAGGAAGAAGGAGGAGGAGAAAGTGGACAAGGAGCAGGAGGAGGTGAGAGAGGGGGAGGAGAGATGAGGAGAAGGAGAGGAAGAAAGAGAACGACAGGGAGGAGAAGGAGAGGAGAAGGAGAGAGAGGAGAAAGAGAGCTCTAACAGAGGGAGGGAGGAGAGAGAGGAGAAAGAGAGCTCTAACAGAGGGAGTACGGCAGAGAAGGAGAGGGAGGAGAAGGAGAGGATAATAAAGAGAGCTTTAACATGTCATGTTAGAGCTTCCATGGGAGCTCTAACGTGCCATGTTAGAGCTCCCTGGAGCTCTAACATGCTAACATAGCATGTTAGAGCTCCCTGGGAGCTCTAACATACGATGTTAGAGCTCCCAGGAGCTCTAACATGACATGTTAGAGCTCCCATTGAGCTCTAACCTGCTACGTTAGAGCTCCCAGGGAGACATGCGATGTTAGAGCTCCCAGGGAACTCCCACGGATTTCTAAACAGCCCTAAGACAGCCCCTCTGAGGAAAGGGTACGCACGCAATGCGGGAGTATTACTCCCGGGGTGCGGTGCTGATGTTGCTGCTGCTGCTGTTGCTGGCGCTGCTGCTGCAGCTAGTGCTTACGCTGCTGGTGCTGGTGGTGAGTGCGGTGCTGGTGGTGCTGCCGGTGCTGCTGCTACTGCTGCTGCTGCTGCTAGTGGTAATGCTGCTGCAGGTGCTCGTGGTGCTGCTGCAGGTGCTGCCAGTGATGCTGCTGCTGCGGCTGTTGCTGCCGCTGCTGCTGCTGATGGTGTTGCTGCTGGTGCTGCTGCTGGTGTTACTGCTGCTGCTGTTGCTGGTGGGGGAGGGGGGGAAGCGGAGCGGAGGAGGAGGAGGAGGGGGATGAGGGGGAGCGTGAGGAGGAGGAGAAGGAGGAGGAGGAGGAGCAGGAGGAGCAGGAGAGCAGGAAAAAGGGTGAGCAGGAGGAGGGCAATGGGCCACGGGGGGATGCTGATTATGATGATGATAACGATGCTAATGATGATGATGATGATGATGATGATGATGATGATGATGATGATGATGATGATGATGATGATGATGATGATGATGATGATGATGATAATGATGATGATGATGATGATGTGATGATGTGATGATGACGACGATGATGATGATGCTGAGGATACCGATACTGCTGCTGATGATGATGGTGATGGAGGAGGAGGAGGAAGAAGAATAATAAGAAAGGCGAGGAGAGGGGGATGCAGGGTACGAGGCACAGGGGGATCAGGAGGATGAGCAGGAGGAGGAGGAGGAGGAGGAGGAGGACAACGACGACGAGGATTCGTGGGAGGAACACAGTGGAAGGTTGGATGGATGACCAGGTACGTGGGAGCAAAGGGGAGGAGGATGAGGAGGCGGCTGCGGAGAGGATGTGTCGTCGTCGTCGTCGTCGTCGCCGTCTTCACCTCGTCGTCCTCGTGGAAGTCGTCGCCATCGTAAGGGCCCAACCCCATGCAGCTGCGAGTAACGCAGGATGACTCTCTCCTCATAGGTAGCGCGCCGCCAGAGGGGTGGAGCCCGAGGCATTGCGGATGGGGGCCGCGAAGCGTCTGAGGGGGGTGCCGAAATGAGGCGGACGCGCAAAATGGAAATGCCCATTGGAGCCTTCGGCGGAGCTCCACGTGAGGCCGACAAGACTTGTTAGGGTGTGCCTTAATGGGACGACGACAACGACGACGACGACGACGACGACGGCGGGGGGGGCGGCATGCGGACGTGCCCGATGGGACGACGACGACGACGACGACGACGACGACGACGGCGGGGGGGACGGCTCGATGGGAGCTCTTACATGCTATGTTAGAGCTCCCATCGAGCTCTAACATAGCATGTTCGAGTTCACAGCCCTCACATCCAAATCTAACATAGCATGTTAGAGCTCCCAAGGAGCTCTTACATAGCATGTTAGAGCTCCTTGGGAGCTCTAACATGCCATGGTAGAGCTTCAGGGGATTTCTAACATCCTATGTTAGAGCTCAAGGCTAACATACCATGTTAGAGCTCCCTGGGAGCTCTAACATGGTATGTTAGAGCTCCCTGGGAGCTCTAACATACTCTAACATGCTATGTTAGAGCCCCGTTGGAGCTCTAATAAGCCATGTTAGAGCTCCCTGGGAGCTCTAACATAGCATGTTCGAGCATGTTTGAGCTCCATTGGAGCTCGAACATACGATGTTAGAGCTCCCAGGGAGCTCTAACATACTCTAACATGCTATGTTAGAGCTCCGTTGGAGCTCGGTATGTTAGAGCTCCCAGGGAGCTCTAACATGGGAGCTCGAACATAGCATGTTAGAGCTCCGTTGGAGCTCTAACGTGCTATGTTAGAGCTCCCTGGTAGCTCTAACCTACCCGCCGCCGCCGCCGCCGATGTTAGAGCTCCCAGGGGGCTCTCACATAATCTAACATGCTATGTTAGAGCTCCATTGGAGCTCTGACATACGATGTTCGAGCTCCCAGGGAGCTCTAACATACTCTAACATGCTATGTTAGAGCTCCGTTGGAGCTCCAACGTGCCATGTTAAAGCTCCCTGGGAGTGCCAACATAACATGTTAGAACTCCCTGGAGCTCGATCATGCCATGTTAGAGCTCCCTGGGAGGTCTAACATGCTAGGTCAGAGGTGCCAGGGAGTTCCCTGGGAGCTCTTACATGACATGTTTCAGCTCCCAGGGAGCTATAACATGACATGTTAGAGGTCCCACGGAGCTCTAACATACGATGTTAGAGCTCCCACGGAGCTCTAACATACGACGTTAGAGCTCCCAGGGAGCTCTAACATAATATAACATGTTATGTTAGAGCTCCATTTGAGCTCTAACATACGATGTTAGAGCTCCCAGGGAGCTCTAACATAATCTAACATGCCATGTTAGAGCTCCCTGGGAGTGCCAACATAACATGTTAGAGCTCCCTGGAGCTCTATCATGCCATGTTAGAGCTCCCTGGGAGCTCTAACATGCTAGGTTAGAGGTGCCAGGGAGTTCCCTGGGAGCTCTTACATTACATGTTTCAGCTCCCAGGGAGCTATAGCATGACATGTTAGAGGCCCCACGGTGTTCTATCATACGGTGTTAGAGCTCCCAGGGAGCTCTAACATACTCTAACTTGCTATGTTAGAGCTCCCTGGGGGGCTCTAACCCGCCGCCGCCGCCGCCGCCGCCGCCCCTTTGCCGTTTCACAATCGATTGCGCAACGGTTGAGACCCCCCCCCCCCCCTCGCCAGGGGGGGCCTTAACCGTTGCGCAATCGATTGTCAAA